CTTGGGTGTGGTCCACTACTTTGAAGACTGAGTGGAAGTCAGGAGAAGCCTGCCCTCTTCTGCTGGGCAGCAGCTCCTGGAACTTAAATTTAAACACCTCCTGTGAGGGGACCAGGTGGAAGGAGAAATTTCTTTACTCACATTTATCACTCACCCAGAAAATGAATAATCTCTAATGCTCATCCCACATTGTCTAAGTGTTGTCCCTCCTGCCTCTGTGGTTTGATGGCCACCTCACTCTGCCAGGCAGGGTGAGCTCACAGTTGACTGACTTGCTTGTCCAGCAGCACCTAAGGATGGAATATGCATAAAGTGGGAGCTCAGGTCGACGTGGGTGGGGGTCAGGTTGTGGTAACTGAGTCTTAGCGTGTGCACCTTTTTCTGCTTGTTTTACATAGTGAGTCTGCAAACATCAATATAAATAGAAGCCACTTCGACTCTCACAGTTCAAAGAATTTTCAGTGTTTTACCTGCTAACAAACAATGTTTCAGAGAAAGCAGAACCCGAGCTTCCAAGGTTTGCACATTTTTGGTTTTGAGATGCTCAAGTTTGTGTATTGTAAACAAGGTTTAGAAACTGCATAGTTGTGCTTTGGACTGTAGCAAGCTTCAGAAGAAAATGTCTAATTGTGCCTGGATTTATTTTATAAATTGGGACTGTTTCAGCAGTCTGTGTGGCCTTCCATTTAGCTGTTTGTTTAAGCCAAGCCAAAAGCCACTTATCTAAAAATGATTTATTCTCTCTCTTGGGCTGACAGAACCAGGCTGGGAAGGGTGAAAGCTGGGTTTAGTCTGAGCCCTTGTCTTCAGTCAAGCCATAAAGAGAGCATGATGGACTGGCCATAACATTGTTCTGGAAGGTATTTGGTCTTTTGTAAATTGCTTGTAGGACACCTTTTAAAAATAAACTGCCATGGTATGTGATTGACTCAGATTTGAACTCAGATAGCTGTTCCTTTGTATCTGCCCCGTATGCCAAAGCAAAACCCTGCAGTTCAACATCTCTAAATTCAAAACGTTAATTCAAATATTACAGTTTTGATTAGCTTCTGACTTCTGGTTTTGGCAGTATAAGCAAAATGGAGGCAAGTGTGTTTCTTTATCTAGTTCAGAAAAATAGATGTTATTTATTTACTTAACATACAGCAATATTGTGTAGTAAAAGGCAACAGCTGAATAGTCTTAGCTAGAGATGTGCAGGTATAACTTGAGGCAGAGTATATGTCTGTCAAAATTGCATCTAAAGAGGAAGAATATTTTAGTGATATTTTAAGCTGGTTTGTTTTGATAGATTAAAACAACCAAAATATTTTTGCATTCAAGAACTCAGTTTTATTCTCTCTGTAGGCTGTGAGGATCTAATGTTCTCACTGATGTCTTTTTACTGTGTTAGTCTTCATTTAATGCAGAGCCTGACCATGACAATGGTTTAGGAAACAGAGAAATGAGGCTGAAGGTGTAGTTTTGACCCATCCAAGAGCTGTGTTGTCCAGCTGAGGAGCAGCACATTGTTTGGTGGGGTGGGATAGTGCTGCCAAGACCCTCACTCTGGGGAGCTGCTGTGGTGTGTGGCTCACATGGTGCTTGCAGTGTGGGTCTGTTTCCCTCCTGGAGCACCTGCTTTCCCAGTCCAGATGGCCTCCTTCCATGCTTGTACAACTGAATGCAATAGTAAAAATAAAGGGAGGCCCAAATGACTAAGGGACGAGCCTACTTTTTGTAGTCTGCTTCATCAGTGAGAATTATTTTGAATGTATTAAGATGAAAGGGGTTAGAGAATCATTGTATGTTTTGAATTCAGGCTGTCAAAGCAAATATTTTGACAGTTGGTCAGAGCTGGATATTGAGTGGCGTGCTGTAAAGAACATAGAGTCCTGTCATGGAGAAAACTTGTCAAGGGATGGGAAACTGAGAGGAGGAATAAATAGCCAGTGTTCAGCCTTGCAAGGACCTAGCTTGAGTTTCTGTTGAGCAAAAATATAAGGGGTGAAGAGAGTCCTGGAGGGAAGCTTCATGAAGCACAGTTATTTAGCAGTCAGTAGCTGGAAAGGCTTCAATGTATGGCACAAACATGCTGTTGGAGGCATGTGAGAATTGGTTAGGTTCGTTTGGAAACTCAAGGTGGGGTGTATTGGAAGGAAGAGGTTAACTACACAGGTGTGTCTGAACTATTAACTTATCTCCAGTATTTTATCTGCAATTGTTCGTGTCTAAGTTTCACAAAGTTTAAGTGCCCCTGCCCCTCCTCTGGTCTGTGTAGCATCCTCCTTCATATGTTTCGGTCTGTCTGTTCACAAAAAGGAGTTGTAGGAGAGTGACCCTGCCCCTCATCTGGTCTTGCCATCCTACTTCATGTGTTTCTGTCTGTCTGCTCACAAAAAGTGAGTGGTGAGTGGCACTGCCATTTGAGGGCATCGCTAGTGCAAGAATAAATTTATGAGAAGTTCTCCCATGAATAAGGGTACATTGTTCTGGAGACACTTTTTATACCAGAATGAAGTACTCATTACCTAGGAAAAGCCAAATTATGAAAGTTTCATTGGAAAGCAAAGTATATTCTGTTGAACTGTTACTATCAATGACATTTACTAATTTTTAAGTGCTGTGAAGTTTTCCTGTGTGGCAAAACAGGGAAGTATATGTCCCAGTGTCCTGACATTTGACGTTACCTCCATATCATCTTTAGATAGGCTGTTTTGCTTAGGCAGTGACTTTGTTACTGCAATTTTTTCTTGTACTTGCATTTCAAATGGAAAAGAACCCCTTTGGTCTTTACTTCTGATTCTAATAATGGCATCCCACATTTTTTACCAGTACCATGTTTTTGTGGCTGCCAGTGTTCATCTGGAATTTCCACCTATTAAGTAAATATGAACTTTGTTCTCATCTCTGTTCAATAAACAGTATGTTATGTTCAGCAAGTACAGAGTAAGCAGTAACAGCTATGATGGGTGTTCAACTCCTGTGTTCCTTGCACCTCATTTGAAATCCTGGAATCACAAAATGAGTTCACATGGGTGTGGGTGCTTGCACAGAAATACAGATTCTAGAGCTTTTTGGAATTTCTCTTTAAAAGTAAAGACATTTTCTGTTAAATTCTCTTTAATTGTGCAGATGACATCAGAAGAATATAGATTTGTAGTGGACATTTCCTACTTTCCAGTTGTTATTTAAAGTGGAAATACTGAGATAATTAACTTTTTTTTGGCAGGCTGACACGTCAGCTCTCTGTTATGACAAAGGGTGTATTCAAGTCATCAGTATGTCAGGTTGCTTAAAAACTTAATGCTTTCCCCCAAAAATGGAAAATGAGCTGAACTGTTATCTCAGTATGGCTAAAAGCACAACTAAGTATGTTTTGCTTTTTTCTAAGGCAATGCTGTAACATCGAACTAAAGAAGGCTAAATTCAGTTATTGGCCCAGCAGCTTAAGTCTGTGTATTTGCTAGTACCAGAGGAGTCTGCAGACTGAAATGAGGAAAAGAAATGCGGATAAAATCTTGTGGATGATTCACTACAACTAGTATAGGAAGGAGTGGAAATTTCTGGATGAAGTTCCAGATGTGCTGAAGTTGTGGGGATGTGTTCCATTTTGCATTCAGTGGGACTTGGATTCAACCACTGGGTTTAAAACTCCTAAGAAAGTAAATTCCAACCCCATGACAAAGCTAAAAAAAAAAATAAAAAATTGGGGATGACTGTTTTCCTGGTGTCTGCTGACCCCTGTCTATTTGGCAGCAGTGCAGTAGTGAGGTCCAGATCTGGTTCTTGACTCTCTTGCCTCCAGTTCAATGTCAGTATTTTGGTTTTTGTGAGGAAAACTTGGAAATGCTACATTCTCATCACAGAGAGGGTAGAAAGTGAGGGCATTTCCTGCTACCACCCTTGCTTTCAGACGACACAGTTTCAGTTCAGGCTCAGAGTCATGTGAGAACCCATATGTTGACGCCAGTATTTGGGTATGAGTTAAAAGTATAGTGATCTCTGATTGCCTCTTGTACTAAGTGTAAACTCTGGGAATGTCATCAGCTACTATTGAAAGGCAGCATAAAGGCTTGGGGAAAGCTCTGTGGAATGTTTTGCTGTAGTCCCAGCATGCACAGGACTGTGGAAGGGAGGAATTGAGAGGAGTAGGGAAGCTCAAGGCTGACTAGCAACTCTTCTCACTGGGGCTCTTGGCCACTGGACAGCAACTGGAGTGTTTTTCCAGAGATTCCTGTTTACAATGGCTAAGTCACCACAGGCTGCCAGTGTTGGCATCATTTCATGATGAAATGTGTGGCATACATGCAGGCAGGTTGCTTTTCTGAAACACTGGTGGATACAGAACTGGCTGGATATAGAACCCGGGGAAGTGCCGCTCCTGCAAAACCCAGGCTTCAAAGGGATGGGCTGTGTCACCACATCGCAGGGTGGGTTGTTCCCAGCTGCAATCCTGTTTGCCTCCTCTGGAGGCTGGGTTTGGCTCAGCTGCAGTCAGCAGAAGCCCAGGAGGTTGGAACAAGGTTCCTTCGTTGCCCCATTCACCCAGGTGCTCGTGGCATGTGGAGCTGTACCTGGCTTCATTCCTAGATGAGTGCTGTGCGGCCTCCCCAAACTGAAGGTAGGAGCCCTATGCCTGTGAAACTGCTTAAACGTGTTCAAACATTTTGCTGGGTAACTGCCAGCAACCTTGGTAATTTCGAGCAGAGGAAGATGATGGGGGCGTGGTGGTAGGAGTAGGTGGGACCGCTGGGTGTTACTGAGACCTTTGTTGCAAAGTGCTTGACAAACATGTGCAATGGGATGGAACAGAGCAGATACCATGAGTAAGGCTGGGCAGCAGGAGATTAATCACTCCCATGGGACAAACCCGGGAGGTTTCCAGCAGGCTGTCTTTGACAGACCCTTGTTAGAGTTTTTTGATGTGTTTCTGTGCAAGATCTGGGCTTGTTGTGGGGGTGGAAAGGAAGTCTTTTCTCACTGCTGATGTGTTGTCTTTTTTTTTTTTTTCCTTGTAGGTGTGTGATGTCAAACAGTGAGCAGTCCTTGCAGCCTCCCCCGCCAGCCTTTAGCATCATGTGCCAGTATGAATATTAAGAAAGAAAAGTGTACTTCAGAGCTCATTATCCCAGAAAGAAAAAAGGACAAACTAAACGGAGAGATCAAATGACTGCACTGCTTGCAAAACTTGGGACTGTTCACTTTTTCTCCTGAGAAATTTCGTCTTGGCCTTTATGAGAGAGCTGAAAGAGCAGGCAGAGCAGCCACAGTGATTTTCTTAGGATCCTTTTTTTTCTTCTTTAATTTAATTTTTCCCCCCTTGTGCCTGGATTTTAAGACTGTCAGCTGCACTGATCACAAGCACTGGACATCAATATGTGTCATGTCATTGTAACATGCCGGTCAATGCTATGGACTCTCCTGAGTATTGTGGTGGCTTTTGCAGAGCTCATTGCTTTCATGAGTGCAGACTGGCTGATTGGCAAAGCAAAGCCTTCAAGCTCCGAGGATGTGGACAACAGAGCAGGGGGGTCGCAGGAGCCTTACCATCCAACATTGGGCATCTATGGGCGCTGCACCAGAATCTCCCACATGCAGCTTTCTAGACGAGACACGCTTTGTGGTCCTTACGCCGAAAACTTCAATGAGATTGCCAGTGGGTTCTGGCAGGCAACCGCTATTTTCCTAGCCGTGGGAATCATGATTCTCTGTGCCGTGGCATTTGTGTCTGTCTTTACTATGTGTGTGCAGAGTATTATGAAGAAAAGCATTTTTAATGTCTGTGGGCTGCTACAAGGGATTGCAGGTATGTGCACTTTGAGAGCAACTAAAGATTTTAATTTTTGGACCATTCTGCTGAAGAGATACAGTGATTCTGTCCTGTTTACAGACTGCATTAGGCAGACCCAAAGCAGTTCTACATGCTGGTTTATTCAAACACAATTGAAATTTATAGCTGTACAGCATGTAATACATTGACATTAGCATCGGAACTGAAGTGTGATGTGTGCCAGAATGAACTGACCAGTTGCTTTTGTTTGCTATTCATTTTTTTCCCTCTGAATTTCTTTCAGTATCAAAAACTTCTCTCCTTTGTTACCAGCAGAGAGCAAAGTTAATACTCACATTAAGGCAGTCTACCTCCCTCTTGCTACTTTAGTAATTTTTCCATGGACCAAAGGCAGTTTTCTCAGTGTCTCAGAGGCTTCATGACTGTGGTGAGAGCAAAAACCACCCCAGGCAGTAAGAACAGCCTGCAGTTGCACACCCAGTTCTCCAGCATTTCATGCTAAGCAGCCTTATTCAAGGCTGTGAGCTTGACAAGCGATACCTTATGATAAACCCTTCCTTTAGGCAGTTTGTTGTTCAGCCACAGTTACACAGTCCAATAAGCTTATCTTTTCACTGTCCCAGTATCAGCTGTGCTTTGCCTGAAAAGATAAATTGTTTCTAGAGATTTGGTGTTTCTGCTTAAACCCATGGATTTTACAGAGATTAAATAACTGTTAGGAAACCAACATGGGACAGCCTCTTGTTAGAGAAGTAGGTGGCTTTCTGTACTCACCAGTGAGCCCTGGGGAGAACCTGTCCCAAGTGCAGGTCTTCCATCTTTTGTGTTCTCTGTGTGTGGTCGTCTGGAGGAGGAGAGCAGTCTTCTGCCGAACCTCTGGCAGCCCTCAGAGACCTGTGAGGAGGGAGGGAATGCACAGGGCCACCTCCTCTTTTCCTCTTGGTGCTCTTAAGCACATATTTTCAATTCATAAAATGGTTTCATTACAACAAAAATTAGAAGTTTTAACTTTTTTTGCTTGAAATGTGAATCCAGCTTCTCTCCTCCTCACCTTCACTGAGGTGGCCAAACACGTCTGTGGTGTCTATATCTAGACAGGAGGTACAATGATAGATGTTCAAACCTTTATGAACCTTGTTGATTTGATTTTCTTAGTTGAGACCTAAAACAATCTTATTCTAAACATACATGAGGAAGTAGGCAAAAAATGAATTTGCTTCCTGTTACAGCCCTCTAGAGCTGGTGGTATGGTCCAGGGACCAGCTGATGCTGGCTCCTAAAGCACTAGCACAGTGGTTCTCACCATCCTCCACTTCATGTATCTGGTATAAAAGTGTACTGCTTATTTCATGTCACCCACAATGTAAGGTTTGTGCTTGCTTCTGAGGCAGAATTAGATCCCTGAGTTGGTTCAAGATGCGTCTGCTCACGTGATGACATTCAATTAGCAGATTAATATCCTTTAGACAGAAATTACAGGTTTTGCTGTAGTCACTCCTCGTTTACAGAATTTGACAGAATCGGTGCAAAAGGAAGCAGCTCTGCAGTGCAGATTAAGCCAGGGGAAGATTTTAGCTCATTTCTTTCTTACTTTAGACATAATCCATGAAACCTGTTTTTCAGGAGATGACACTCTTTTCTTTTGGAGGGGTATTTGTATAGGAGAGATTGGTTAGTAGCACAAATAGATGTTTAGCATGTCAGACTTGGGTCTCTTGAAAAGGTTACTTACAATGTACTCTGGCTATCTAGTTGAACATGAAAAATTAGCAGGAAGTAGGTTCTTGTATCTTAAAATACTGTTCTGGAGACCATGTATTTGTGAGAAAATACATGCAAAGACAGATTTATCTTTTATTATCAAACCAGCTGTACCTGTAAGGGGACTTGTGGCCTCAAGAATTGAACAATATGGTTGATTAGAGGACAGATCAGTCTTTTTGAGCTGTAGTCAGGATAGAAGCACTTACCTTCTTATAATTCAGATAAATGACACAGCATGAAACTGGTAATAGAAAGGTTACATTACCGAAACTGTTGCCATGAGAAATATGCCTGCCAGCATTTGCAGCCAGGTGCCTTGTGGCTAGCAACTGGTTTTCTCAAGATTAGTTTTATTGGGTCCACTGCTACTTTGTGCCAGTAGCTTTACAGCATCTACTTACTTAGTTGAAATTACTTTCCTTATGTTTTATCACAGCTGTTAATTTCAACTTTCTCAGTTCCTGAGTTTTGGAAAATGCTTAAGAAAGTTGTTCAAGGACAGTTGTCTGCATAATCCATACAGGGATTATGATAGCTAGACTAATGCCCAGACCAGACAACAAGATAAAACCCTGTTTTAATTATCTTAAGCATAAGATCATTCTTTCAAATGTGAACAATTATGTTTTTAATAAGCACAGGAGAAGAATTCACAAAATAATTTTGTCAGCCTGTATCAGTCCAATATTTGCAACTATGTCAAACATCTCATTTTCAAAGATGAGATGCACCCATGGTAGAGTCATCTACAGGAACTCAGGATCTCGCAGACTTAATCTCATTTAAAATCTCCATATCTTTGCAGTGGAGATTTAATATAATTAAAAACATACAACAAGTTAATTTATTCCTGGAATTCATAATGAAAAAAAAACAGTAACAGACACCAGATACATCTTTTCAGTCTAGCAACATTGGTTGTGACCTGGATGATGCCTGTGGTGAAATTACAGAACAGAAAGCAACGTCTCTTCTGTTATGGCCCTTGGACAAATGTGCAAACTCTTATTTAGGTCAACAGGAAGGAGCCATACATATATCTGGTCCACAGAGGCTTTTTTTGTGGCAGAAAATTAGAATTACAAAGCCATAAAGGAAGAAAATCTGGCTTTTGTTTAAACTCCTGTAATTCCTTTGTTAGCGAGCAAGACCTACCACTTATTTTCAGACTGCAGTGCCTTTCATTCTGGAGCTGTAGAAACAGTAAACAGTGGCCCTGGTTTTGGAGATGTTTGAGGATTGTTTCATCTGGAAAAGCATCTTTTCTCTGTAATAGGGAGTGCAAAGAATGGAGCCATGTAATTAAATAGATAATTACTACCCAATAGCATGAGGACTAGGCAGGCTTTCATTTGAGTGTCTTTATTGGGAAAGTATTCTATTTTTACAGTCTGTGAATCACTTGAAATGCAGAGGCTAGAAGAGGCAGCATGTTATTGCATGGTAGCTGATAAGAACCAATTCAAAGTAAATTTTCACAGTAATTATCTAGTTATAGGAAGTAAATAATTGGTGATCCCCTACTGACCTACCTTGATATGTATATAGGATAGCTGCATATGTGTTTACAAGCCTTATTTGGTCTTGGGTACTTCACTAAGTAATATAATCTAAACAACCTAGCCTCAAAGGAGGGTGGAGGGGAGCTTTAGGACAGAGCCTAAAACTGGTTTGGCTTCTGTCTCTGACAGTTTCCTTTATGAAATTCACCAACAACTTCTCTTGACTTTTTCTTTTAACCAATAAGGGCATAGCTGGGCAGAGCCAGCCCCCAGCATCGTAGCTGGGGGGTCGCAGCCCCTTCACTTACAGCCAGTGGCTGCCTGACTTGCCAGTGAGCCACAACCCATTAGCAACAGCCTGACTGTGTGCCAGGAGGCAGAAGCTAAATTAGCAGCACATACATTATCTCAACCGCAAAACTTGAGCAGGCCCCTGTGTTTCCTTCTGGGGAGCTACGCCATCACATGCCTGGGAAGCCTTTGGAGAGAGCAGAGAGGAAAGGGTGCTGGTGTGTCTGGAAGGCAGCTGGGTTTGTGAGTTCAGTTTCTGTTACTCCTGCTTTGCCACGTTGGAGTGGGGCTATATTGCCAGGCAGGTTTACTGAAAGGGGATTAAAATTGCTCTTTTTCTCTAAAGTCTTCAGAGTGCTGATGACTTCATCTGGGAGGCCTGTCATGGTTCACCTGCCTCTCACTACTTTCTCTGTTCACAGTCCACTGACTTCTAGGTCTAACTGGACTTGGCTAAAGAGGTTTCTGACAGTAGCATGGAAAAAACAACCCATATAAAAATTGGGTTGCATCAGCCAGGAGTACTGTGTCCGGAGCCACATGCCAAGCAGTGTCTCTGGTTTGGTCAGGTGAATGCATGGCTGCATTTTACTGTCATGTGGTTTAGCAGGCTGGGCCGCTGGCAGTTAACGCCTTTAACAGATATACGTCCAGTCAGATGAGGCAGAGATTTGTGTCTTCAAAGGTGACTGCAGTCAGGCCAGGAGCATTAAGTTCCCTTGGCCACTTTGTTGGAGTCTGTCTGCTTGGGCTCAGATGCTGCAGGTTTGGTCTTCCCTCCATCATCCCAGCAGTTTCTCTTCCAGCACTGCTGGGGGATGACTAAGTTTCTTCCTGTCCAGGGTCCTACTTTAGTATTCTCCTCTCATCACTCAGCACTGAGGTTTTCTTATCATTTCACTCTACTTTTGTCCTGCCCAGCATTTCCTCTTGTACCTCTGCTTTATTCTGGGAGGCTGATTTTTGCCCCTGGCACTTGTCCTGCTCAGTCCCAAGCAGGAAGTGTCTTCTATAGTACTTTTCAGGTATCTCACAAGCTCTGTCTGCATTCATTCTTCTGTCCTTTCCTTGATTTCTTATTTTTTCCCTTTTATTCTGTTCCCTGCTTGGGGAGTTCTTCTGTCAGAAACTACTTAGTACCTGGGCAGTAGTTCAGTTTCAGGAGTGCAGCTTTACCCTCAAATGCAAGGACATTTCTCCACAAGTTTCTAAAATGAAGAGGTGAAACCCAGTTTGAAGCCAGCCATGTCTGTAACAGTCTGTCTTTGCTGCTGGAAGAGTTTGTTTTACATCTCTTGTTTAAGAAATAGTTTAGCGTGTAATATTTATTGGTCATCATTTCATTTCGGGAGCCTGGGTGATTAGGAAGATGGCCTGAGCAGAGTATGATGGGAACCATCTGAAAGAAACAGGAATCTGGAGCTACTTGTGGGGGTGTATCAAGAGGATCCAGCTGTG